CATCTTCGCGAAATTATTCTTAATTATGCCTTTCAGCTAACTTTTTTCGAAATCTCGCCATGGTGGGGGTTAGTTCCTCCACCGCTTTGATGGAGCGCTTCGCGACTACCAAGGATCAGCAAACGGCGTTTCAATTTGCCTTTTACAATGCGCTTCTTTTCCTGTTGGTAAGTTTCGTTTTAGTTTTGTTTAAAACAGCAAAATCCCATTGATCTTTCGATGCAATTTGATTCTAATGACTCTTACATTGGTTTTATATACAAAAGTTCACATTCACATAAAAAGTAAATTTCAAGTTGGCTTAGCAATGTCTCCTGTGAAGGATCTTATTCTTGGACTTTCCTCCTTGTGTAATTATAAGTTTGTTACGCAATTTCAAAATTAGTTCAAGCTGAGGCTACAATTGTATTCTTTTCAATGTAATCTAACGATAATAAGCAAGGCTGGAACTAGCATATGGCAGCCTTCTCAAGTAGCTATTCAACCACTCTGGGTTGCTTTCCTTCTAATAAAATTAACCTTGAAAATGAGTTGTCGTTTTAACTCTACAGTTTTTATTAATTGTAATTCAGACCGGACTATGCCTTTGTGGAGTATTTGCTTTGTACAAAATGATGTACATGTTTCTATCACCAATGTTGTGGGCCGTACTTGTGGGAACTGTGTTGTTTCCTTTCAAAAAGAAGGTCACTGACAAGGTTCAAGGTAATTTCTTTCTTCTCTTTATTGCTCTTTGTGAGACTCTTGCCATCTCAGGATGGCTAAGAAGAATCCAGAATAACAATCAAACTCTTGTGATGGGGCTTATAACTACACCATTCTACTGTTTCCGCGATTTTTCGGACTATGTGTACACAACTGCTATGAGGTAAAGAAACTGCTTACTTTTCCCTCCGTTTACTTGATTCAAATGTTTTCCCAAAGTTATGTTGTGCTGGCCATATCTATAAATCATTTTGATTAGAAGAAATAATATCTTGTTTAAGACAAATTGTAGACAGCCTGCTTGTGCATTCAACAAAACCGAGGTACTCGATTCATTTGTATAGAACAGCGAAGAGGAATTACTACTTTTTTATATAGTGGTCAAAATATGTTCACTTTTAGTTGTTCTGCTTTCTCTATACTTTTCGTGCGAGCGCAACCTTGACTCTTAGGCATGTTACCTTCAATCTTGGACAGGGAAAAGCAATCATCCTACGTATTGCTACCAGTTAGCCTTATACCGCAGTACTAGCTTTGCTACCAGCGCAGATAGAACAGCTGCCAGCCTTTGTAAAGGAGCTGTGTGTCTTTGCGTTTGAACAATGTACTAAAAATTCTCTACATGCTCCCATACCAAATTTCTGGTGGGAAAGATACACTCCTAAACATTGTCTGACGAAGATAGAACCCTTTCTTATAGGGTAATGCTGTGGTTCTAGCTAAGATAGAATGGGGTTAATTGAGCAAACTGTGCTAAATACAACTATCAGTGTTGGCATTTAACATGGTCCTTGTAGTTTTATGTGATCTAGTTTGATTCCAATCTAGGTTTCAATTTAGTTACAATTTAGTTTAGAGGTTTTATAATTCTACTGTTGAAAACTAACCAGCGATCATAGAAATAGGAGGGTTTTATATGCATAATGTATATTAATGTAATATAATATGTAATAGAAGCTAAAATTTTTGAGTTTTCGATCACCAGAGTCATACCTGGTGGTATTAATTAAGTTATCCTTGATATTCGATTTTGATGTAAGTAGAAACTGTCCTATAGTAATGTGTCGGACAAGTTGTGTGGTTTTGTCCAAATGCAGAATGAGCAACTTATTCAACAAAACGCTAGTTCCATCCTCCCAGTCAATCACTGGTTGCAGTAATCATTGATCGAATCTCAGGTTGTCTATAAGGTATTTTCACGGCTTGTTCTTTCTAACAATCCGAAATCTTGGATCTCACTAAAATTTTGCCCGGTGAACTTATTCGACATGCCGATTATGAAAATTATGTTCATCTCGTGGACAGCTCAGTACTGTAGGGCTACGGTAAGTAGAAAATGAGAAGCGTGAAGTGGTAGCTCACACAAAAGTCTAAGAGGTAGTTCCTGTTTATGGAACTATATATCCTTCGCTAATAACTTTCACCGGTACATCACTGTAGTTAAAAAAAAAAGGAAATCAAAATCGCCAATTTGTCTAAAGGTTGATTTGAATGTTTTTTGTCCAATGAACGATGGTACTGGTAATGCAGGAAATGATTGTGCTTTCGTGGTAAGTTTATTGTCAAGTAACTCCTCAAGGCCATGTTTTGGGGAATCCATTTTGGTCCGTCAATCGTCTACCTATTATAATCCCAAGAAAGTATGCACACAATGAATATATTTATCTATCTCATGGTCAGCATGTCAAATAACTTTTAATTTAATTTACCAGCAAGATACGAGATATTCGCCTGTCAGACCGGACAAATGTCGGGGCACATCTCTTTTATATGATTAACACCTAGTTCCAATGGCTTAAACGATTAAGTTATATTGGAATGATCGAACGCCTTGTGAAGCACCTGCTAATCTATTCGAACCTGGCTTTGGAGCTTCGCACTTCTAATCTAGGTAACTTTGCCCTTTCAAATGCTTCCATCCTGTGCTGGCCAAGGTGCATGAGCGCATTTTTCTTTTTCGCTATGACGATTAGGCAGTCCAAGCTAAATTTGAGAGAAGTCTGGCAGACGCGAGTGCTTTTCAAATTTCTATCGTCGTTGGACATACATATCATGTTAGTTTTTCAAACCACAAAAGATGAGGAAGTGTAAAAATGTACTGTTCAAAGTTTAAAATAAACCTTGACTGGTGATGTGGGATGAAGAGAGAAAGCCATTTGCTGATGGATTAGACGCACATATTAGTGCAGATGTGTAGTAGCACCCCCAGTGTACAGGAAGTTGAGGAAGTGATTTAGTGTGTATGGATAATAGCTTATATTCTAATTTTTTGTGGGAACTCCCATGAGAGTAATCATTTCCGAGTTCTGCTGAAGATTCAGAACAAACCTTTGCTAGGAGTGAACGATTTTCATAGGAGGTGGACGTGGCGCAAAGACTGCTAGGATCAAGAAGTTGAATCAGCCCATGTTTCAGTAAAATTCTATCTTTACTTGAAATTCCGCCTGTCGTTCACCAGTAAGGGAGTCATTTAGGACAGAAGAACTGACAAAAATTTTTATTCCGAAAGTGTTAGTTCGAGGAAATTTGTCTTTTTCATCTGTCTAAAAGTTGTTTGGGTCTTATGCATAGGGCCCGAACTTGAGTTTCGGAACCGAGAGACTCCTCTCTCTTTTTCTCTTTTTTCTTTTTCTCCTTCTTTTTCCTCTCTCTATAAATAAATGAACATAGTAAGTAAATAAATAAATATGAATATTGACAAGCAACTATGTAAATTAATATATATATATATTATTGCATTTATAATGGCAGAAACGCATTTCATATTGTTTTATAAATATGGCGAGTGCACAAATTGTATAAGAAATCCCGAATAATCTAACATGTTATTGTTTTATCAGCCGCACCGGACTGCAAATCGTTATTGCTTACATCGTTTTGAAGCTACTCACCTATGAGCGGACCTTTGTGTACATAATCAATTGCGCCGGTCATGTATACAACTTCATTGATGCCTTCATCTTATTCTTCTCTAAATCTTGGGTAATATCTCTATTCTACCATTTTTGCTTACTTTGTAATCATCGACCATCTTTGATTAATTTTCTAGATGTTTCCAATAATGTTCATCTACTTCTGCGCTTATGCTGCATGGATTTATGTGCAGCAGCCTGGAACAGTGAACAAGAAAGTAGCTCGAGTTCTTTCGCTGCCGATATGGTATCCCTCACTCTTTTTTT